GTCTATTTGTAAAAAAAAAAAAAAAAAAAATTTCTATTTGTGCATTGCAGGGTTTATACATACTCTTCTTGATAAAGAGGTTAGCCCTTTTAAATCCTTATTTGTGACTTGACCTGATTTCCCTGACTTGTAGCATTTCCAAGATCCCTGTAAAGTTTAAGCAATTCAAATTTTGTTAAATTCTTTCTTTCTTCTGAAGCAGGAGCTTTCTCTCAGATCTAAGAGTCCTATAAAATGTTCTTTCTAGTTTTCTGTCCATCTTAAAATAGTCATACTCCTGAAATTGTGTTACAATTCTGTAATAATGAGGGGTGTTAAGAAATAGCATGGGGCAGGAAAGTCTGTTAGTAAATATGGAGCTAGGAGAGAGGAAAGGTCTAAATTCATCGTTAACAACGCAAAAATAGAAGCCAGACAGAAATAGCTATGAAATAAGCTAGGATTTATTTAGATGTACCTCAGAGAGAAGTTTGAAGTGATGTTCCCAGAGACACTCCCCTGTTTTCTCTTCTTGCCTTTCCTCTCTCCCCCAATTCTTCATTTTGAAAGAAAAGCCTGACTACACTAAGCTAAGGGGTAGTCTTACTCAGGCTAAATCAATGTGAAAGAAAGGAAGGAGCAGAGGAAGAAAAGGAGAGGAGGTAAGGAAGCAAACAAGACAGCAAGCTGGCAGGCAGGCAGGTGGGTGGGGGGAGGGAGGAAGGAGCAGGCAAGCAATCTTCTCAGGAAGATCTATGTTGAATCAGATCTAAAGAAGGAATAATGGCAAGGGTAAATAAAAGTTACTTCCTCTCTCTGTATAACTTCTTTATTCTTTAGGGCTGCTTGCAGTATTCATCTAATTTCCTATATCACCATGCACTCCAACAGTAACAAAACAAAATGATCAACATAGGCAGGAACACCTGCAAAACACCACCAGCCACCAATACTCTACGATTCAACAGCACACAAGATTCAACAGTTGGATTCCCTCACTTGCTTCTTGATGCAATTTCTAATCCCTCATGTCAAGCCCCTGCCTTCCAGCAGGCAGAGTACAAAGGCCCTCAAAGGAATTTCCAAGGTTGCAATCTTTAGGGAAACAGACTGCCACATCTGTCTCCTTCAGAGCAGCAGGTGGGTTAGAACCACAGACCTTTCAGTTAGGAGTCAATTGCTTGAGCACTGTGCCAGCGGGGCTTCCCTGCAACACTAGATACACTCCTTATTCTGACCGTGGCCATCTGAACTACTGTCCCTATCAACTCACGCATACTGCCTCCTCCCCAATTTGTGGTAATGGCTCTTTATTGACCCTCTCAACCACTTCCAGCACTGTCTGCTGACCGCCCCAATCACTGGTAAACGAATCTAGTTAATCCAAATAATCCCCACTCACTGGTTGCCCAATATTAATGAGTCCTTCACAACCTCACTAGTCACCACACTTAATAACATCCTTCCTCTGAACCCTCAAAGATACCAAAACCCCCGCCCCACTCCCTGCAATGACTGCCTGAGGTTCGGTCTTTGCTCACCCTCTCTCCAAGCTCACCTCTCCCCAATAACCGCTTGCCTTCCTAATGCAAACTAAGGCCACTGTTGACGACTTGCCTTCTTAACCGCCCGTCTTGATCCTGTCCCCCACTGACTCCACTCTTTCTCCTAATGCAGAACAGCCCCCGCCCTCCCCTTGTTGACTTTACCCCAATCTTCTTCATGCAAATTCTAACGCACCCATATTCTCTGGCTGACCCCCTCCTTTGCCTTCTCCTCACACGGCTCGGGGTCACTAATACCGCCCGGAATCGACTGGACGCCAAAGGGTTTTGGAATCCCGACTTTGCCCGCCCCCGCCCTCTCCGTCTCACGCTCCCTAGGTTGACATTGAGGCCTCTCCTCTTGGCCTCTTTCCGAAGTTGCCAAGACCCCAAACTAACTGCGTCCCTCCGCACCAAAAGAACCCCCTCCCCCAGAGCCCACCTCCTCAGATACCGCCCCCAGGCCCCAGCCACTCCCCTACCGCCCCCGGCCCTCACTCACCCGCCTCCCTCCGCTAGCACAGCCGAACTTGCCGGCAGCGACACCTGACAGCGGCCCAATCAAAGAACGACTCCTCTGGGGTGCCACCAATTAGCGGAGGGCGCGCACCGGCATTGGAGTCAGGCTGCGTTGGCCGGCGCTTCTGCGCGGAGGAGGGTATCCCCTAGTGGCTCTCTGGAGAATGTGCAACCTGATGCTCCTCTGCCACTGATTTCTTGCTGCGTCGCCACAGCCCAGATGCTGGTTCTACAAGGACGACGTTCTGGTGAGATGAAGAGGGAGAGAAATGAGAGAGGAAGAGGAAAAGAGAGTTTGTGCCGTTGGTTGAGAATGTTAACAAGAGGAGTGATAGGGAGACTGGCCATTAAAACACAGAGGCAAACAAAACAAAACCAAAAAATCAAAGGAAGGAGCGGAAAGACTGGAGGAGATAAGGTGAATGGGTGAAGGCTGGATATGTTGATTCCTATCTCCCACACCTACACTTTCCTTGCTCTCTGCATTCCAAATTTGCTTTAAATTCTGGCCTTTCCCTTAAAGACATGTAGCCTTGGACAAATCACTTAATTCCTCTGAGATTCTCTTTTCTAATTCTGAATGAAAAACCTAACTCATGGGACATTGATTATATGTTTGCATTGTTCTTGTTATTTTCCTTGCATAGTCGCTTGATCAGGACAAGTATCACCGATCAAGATAGGTTCAAGTTCCTAGATTCTTCTCTGCAATCTCAGGGATCTTGGCACTTTTTAGTCAGATGCTTCATTATTCGGAACCCCAAGTCCTACTGAATAGAGTTGATCCGGAAGAACTAGCCCTAAGGGCATTAGATGCCTCTCCAGCACAGGTTCATACCTCCTTCCATGATTTCAACCTTTCAAACAAATAATTACAGTACTTCCAACTAATTAACTCCTCATTTTCTCAAAAAGGCTCCATCTTTAGTTAGGGCTGGAACAATTAAATTCAATGAAATAATATATTAAAAAGTTCCCTGCAGTTGTAAAATGCTTTAAAATGTTTAATGGTATTGCTTGAAATAATTAAACAAATCAGATACTATATGCATTACTTCCTGTCTGCTGTGGGATAAATTTTTAAAAGTATTTTTATTACAGTATATGCCCAAACATGGGGGTTTTCAGAGGCCTGCCATTTCAGAAGTGGATGGCCAATCCTTCTTCCTAGTCTGTCTTAATCTGAATGTTTAGATTTAGAGGAGTATCTGACAGACATACTTTGGACATGTTGTAAGGAGAGACAGGTCTTTAGAGAGGGACATCATCCTGGGTAGAGTAGAGAGACAGCGCAGGAGGGGAAGAGCCTCTATGAGGTGGATTGATTCAGTGACTGGGGTACTCAGCATGGGTGTGTCAGAGGCAATGGATTGGCACAGGATAGAGCACGGTTTAGGGCTGTTGTACATAGGGCCGCTATGAGTCGCAAACGACTCGACGGCACATAACAACAACAACAACAACATATGCCTAAAAGGATGTAAGAGAAGTACACAAAAACTTGAATTTTCCTAGTCAAGTTATTATTCAAATTTTAACAGCTACTCTGTAAATCAAAATAACTTTTCTAGGCAAGTCTTGTTTCTCTTTTGGTGATTCTTCCTTTCCATTCCCATCTCTTTAATCTTAGTAGCCACCCTCCCAATAAAATAGCAGCCTTGCTTTTCTGAAAGATTATCTCACTCCTTTACCTGAGTAAGTATATACCAATTCAAGTAATTACATTCATTTACTCATAGCTACTCCTTCACCTAGATAATGATACCCTACAACACAGGTGAAGAATGGTGAAGAGATTGAGATTCTTAACAGCTTTAGTTTGCTTGGTTCCACGATTGACACTCTTGGCATGAGCATCCAGGAAATTAAAAGACATTGTGTTGGGAAAGTCTGCTGCTAGAGACCTGTCCAAAGTACTGAAGAGCAATGATGTCAGTCTTGAGATTAAGGTGTGCCTGATACAGGCCATGGTCTTTGCAATTAGTTGCTATGCATCAGAAAGCTGGACAGTGACTAGGGATGATAGAAGGAGAATTGATGCCTTTGAGCTGTGGTGCTGGAGAAGAGTATTGAATATATACCATGAACTGCTAGGAGAATAAACAGGTTCATCCTGGAGAGGGTAAAGCCAGGCTGCTCCTTGGAGGCAAGGATTCTGAAGCTTCCTCTGACATACTTGGACACATTTCAAGGAAGGACTAGTCCTTGGAGAGGGACATCATGCTTGGGAGGGTGGAGGAACAGTGCGGGAACGGGAAGGCCCTTGATGAAATGGATTGATTCAGTGACTGGGGTAATGGGGGGGGGGGTAGGTATGTCAGAGACAATAACATTGGCACAGGATAGAGCAGGGTTTAGGGCCGTTGTAAATAGGGTCACTGTGAGCCGCAGGCAACTTGAGAGCACATAACAACACAACACAGGTAATGTTTTCTATCTCTCCAAGAGTGAAGATATTCTATGTATAGAATTCTACCTATTCTCTGATAAATCATTCTCTTATCAGAGAAAGGCTTTAAGGGCTAGACCAGGAAGAGAGGCATACAAATTAAGAAGACAGGAAAAAGAACACAAGGGAGATTTGAGAAGAATGAAGGAAATGAGAGTAGAGGGATGGACGTGGGGAAATCTTGTGACTTATATGAAGGGAATTCCTCTTTCTGACACTCTTTTAGGATTTCCAGGTGTCTTAAGATTTTCACGTGTCTTACTGCTTTGCGAGTACATCAGAATAGCTGAGAGAAAAGGACTAAGGTTTATCCCACCTTAAGTGCTCCACACATTTAGAGTTAGTTCCAGCATTCATTCTCCTTCCTGCCAGGATCAGGTCATGTTCAGATCACACTTGGAGTTGTATGAACAAAGTTCTCTCAAATGTGAGAATATACACCTGGAAGGGGGAGAACGGAGAGGGGCCAAGAGGAAGACAATAGAAACTCTTGATGACTTTATGCCCTCAAACACCATTTTCATTAAACTCTGGATTAAATGTTAGGTAGCTAAGAGAGGAAAAGCATGTGGAGCCTGGAGACCTGTGCCTACCTGTTCCATTCCCACACCTAGTCATTTCACCACACCCTTCACCTCACCTTACATACTCCACAATTCAGGAGCTGGTAACAGAAGGGGGGGGGGAAAGGGAGGGAGAAAGAGGAAGCTAACTATTTCTTGCCCAACCCCAGTCCCACGCCCAGTATAGACAACAGGTAAGCAAACTTGTAGAGAATTCTCAGAAGACTTCCGTTTACTTGAGCAGCAGACAGGTCTGAGCCTGGAAAAGACGCTGAGGAGTAAAAGATCAAAGGCGAAGTAGGAATAGGTGAGAGGGTGGAGGAAGAAAACAAAAATTGGGGGAATCAAAAGATGTAGAAGCAAGAAATAAAAATTAGGGGATCAAACAAGAGGGGTGGAGCCAGGAAATAGGATTTCAGACTTCGGAGTTGGTGGCAAAGCATAGATGGGGTAAGAGTTGATGTTTCTCTGATTCTTCTAAGGAACCTTTCCACAACCTTGTAGGAGAGCACAAATGTGACGGACAAGGAGGTGCTTTGATCCTCTTCCTGGTTCTAAGGAAAGGGTGACCTTGAGTCACGGAGAGTAGTTTCCAGTGTCTGCCTCTAACCTTGTGCTTTCTCAATATCTCCCTCTGGTCTCTGTGTTTATTCCGTGGTTTCTCCGCGGCTGCGTCCCCTGGGAAGATGGAGGGGTTTGCTGGGGCAGGCTGCAAGCCGAGAAGCGGTTGGGCAATGTCACCCTTTCACACCTAGAGGGTAGACAGCTCAAGTTTCCAATTAAACTCAAGGTTTAGGGGGAAGGGTGATCGGGTTTCGCCAGTCCCCTTAGGTGCTGTCCTCCACTTGGTGCTGAAATCCGGGCCGCCTCATTCCAGGTGGGCTCCGGGCATCCTCGGCTTGGCACTCAGATCCCCTTAATCACTTGGTGTGAGCTGCCCACCCCGCCCCTGCACACCTATCGCGGTGGCGGGGAGGAAGGCGGGGCCTACGTGAGCCCCACCCCTGGGGACTGCAGCTCTGGCTTCCCTCTGCTCCGCCCGCCCGCCAACCGCTAGCTCATTGCGCTTCTCCTGCAGTCTGGTTGGTACCGGCTCCCACTCCTGCCCCCATCTCTGCTTCAGCTTCGTACCTGCTCCAGCCCCAGGCCTGTTGAGTTGCATCTTCCCTCTCTGATCCTCCCCTGCGCCAGCTCCTGCTCCAGGATTCTATAGCCGAACCTTCAAGCCATGGCTGGTCCCTTCTCCCGCCTGCTGTCCGCTCGCCCTGGACTCAGGCTCATGGCTTTGGCTGGAGCTGGATCTCTAGCGGCTGCATTTCTGCTTCGCCCGGATGCTGTGCGAGCTGCCAGCGAACGAAGGAGGCTGTATCCCCCGAGGTATCCGTGTCAGAGGCGCGGGATGGAGGCGGGGGAGGGGGGCAGGAAGGGAACACCGCGGGTGATGATGGTAGCCGGGCCACAGAGAAGGACAATAATCACTAAGGATCTATAGCTTGGGGGGTGGGGTGGGAGCTGTGCAGTCTGGATACGTCAGTAAGGCAAAGGCGAAGGCCAAAACCATAGGCAAAAGAATCCCTGAGAACCTGTAACCTGCAGATCCCCACCCCCACATCAAGACCAGCTATGGCCTTGTGCATTTGGGCTGCACTCATATTGCCCAAATTGCTGGAAGACCAGGAACTATCCTATTTATTTACTCTTCTCCATCTCCTTTTCCTGCTTGTTTCCTATTTCCTGAAATTCCCCTCCCCCAACCCTAATGCTGTGTACATGGGAGGAAACAACTGAGTGTGTCTAGAGGAGTTGAGTCAGCCAGCCACAGGCAGCTAGAACTGTTGGGAAAGGATAGACCCTGAAGTCTCTAAAGAGATTACAACTGCTTAGCCTCCATCTAATTCCCCCCTTCCCCCTAAGGAACAAAGTCAGATGAGCTAACAGGACAGCTCCCAGCAGATTGAGCTGGATATAGGCCCCTTGTGTCCTCCCTCCATGGTTACCGGGTACCCCCTCCCCAGCGCTGAGTACCCAGACCTCCGAAAGCACAACAACTGCATGGCCAGTCACCTGACCCCAGCAGTCTATGCCCGGCTCTGCGACAAGACCACACCCACTGGTTGGACGCTAGATCAGTGTATCCAGACTGGCGTGGACAACCCTGGCCACCCTTTCATCAAGACTGTGGGCATGGTGGCTGGAGATGAGGAGACCTATGAGGTAGGGGGCCCCAGAGTCTCCTTGGTAATCCAACTAATCTTCCCAGTGATCCCAGTCCCTTCTCCTGTAAAGACCCCTAAATATCCCCACGCCGATGGGCCATTCATACTCAAGTTTTCTGATCCAGTGAAGTCAATTAAAAACTGAGGCTTGAGGGATTCCTTCTCCTTAAGCATTATCCCCTCTTTAATTCTTCCCTCAGGTATTTGCTGAGCTTTTTGATCCTGTGATCCAAGAGCGGCACAATGGATATGACCCCAGGACTATGAAGCACACCACTGACCTGGATGCCAGCAAGGTGGGACAAACATCCCACTTTTCACTTGTGCTGGTTTTTGCATGCGATGTTCTTTGCATCTCCAAACAAACATTTCACTCTTATTATTTCCTGATTCATGGTTATTATCCTGCTGAGCTTTCCATCTTGGTATCCGGATAGTGTCTTAAGGAACAGCAGATATGGAGAGAAAAGTGTGGATAAGAATTCCATGCCCCAAGGTGGGCAATTTGGAGGAAGAGCTACAATGGGTCTGTGATTGGGATGGCTTGCTTCACTGAGACGCCTCCTCATGCATGCTCAGCACACACAATAAGCTGTTCTGTAATCCCTAGGATCTTTTCTTCCCCAGTGGCCCAGGCTTCATGCACTTATTTCAATGATTTGTAAAAATTTCCCTTGCCCTCTAGATACGTTCTGGGTACTTTGATGAGAGGTACGTATTGTCCTCAAGAGTCAGAACCGGCCGAAGTATCCGAGGACTAAGTCTGCCTCCAGCCTGTACTCGGGCAGAGCGACGAGAGGTGGAGCGTGTTGTGGTGGATGCACTGAGTGGCCTGAAGGGTGACTTGACTGGACGCTACTATCGGCTAAGTGAGATGACAGAGGCTGAGCAGCAGCAGCTCATTGATGTAAGGCCCCTTAAGATGGACAGGGACCTGGGTGGGGAAAAACAGGAAGAAGAACCAGGGATGGTGGAACCAGGTGAGCTCTCGGAGGCTCTGGATTCTTAATTTTGGCCCCTTTCCTCTCCCTAGGACCATTTTCTATTTGATAAGCCTGTATCCCCATTGCTGACTGCAGCAGGGATGGCCCGAGACTGGCCAGATGCTCGTGGAATCTGGTATAAAGCTCCTCCTTACATTGTTTTGGTCCTCATTCTCATAAATGCCTTTTTGCCCTGTGTCCCTCAATTTTTCACTATCCCTTGACCTCTGTCGCTCTTTTCCTGCCTTCCTCAGGCACAACAATGAGAAGAGTTTCTTGATCTGGGTGAATGAGGAAGATCATACACGAGTTATCTCCATGGAGAAGGGGGGCAATATGAAAAGAGTGTTTGAAAGATTCTGCCGAGGCCTCAAAGAGGTTGGAAAAGATAGTACAGGGGAGCTGGGTGGGAGGATATAAGCAAAATCAAAGTCTAACATAGATAGAATGACTAAATAATTTATCAACCAACTTTGGACACTTTTGTGCATGGAAGCGAGCACTATTAATAGATATTAAACCCAGAACTATCTTGGGAAACCATGACATGTGATCACCCTGAGACTAAGAAGAGGAAAGAATATCGGAAACCTAAAGATGTAAATACAGCCATAGTTGCTGATTTGAGAGGGAAGGTCAATGTCTGTGGCATGTGGTATGGAATGACGAGGTATACAGATGAGGAAACTATTTTATCCTGAATTGATAGAGGGGTTCAGAGATTGGTAGAATCATATTAATGATTCTAATATGATCACCATATTTCTGAGCCAAGATAGACCTTGACTGTGGCATCTGTCAATCTTGGGGAAGTATCATTTCTAAGCTTTAATTTGTGGGTGAGAGGGATGTTAAAAAGACAAAAAATGAAATGGTTTATGTGAAAAGATGTGTGGCTCTAAATAAGGAATTCTCAATCCTATATTGATTCTAGAGTCAGTTCTAGAATCCTCATAAACTCAACCCTTATTTTATGTCATCACATTTACAGTCCTATTTTGGACTTGCAAACAAAGAGAAAACTTGTCTTTCTTTTAGATTCAATTGGGAAGTAACAGATAACATATTCTGGTCTTTGCAAGTAATAGATAATATATTCAGAATGCAAAGGGGCAAGGAAGTTCTTTTTAAAATATCCATGCATCTATTTCCTTATCTATAAGACTGAGATTAGAAGATTGCCTACTTTTTCAGTTGTTGTGAGAAAAAATAAGATTATGCATGCAAAGTATTCAGCAGACTACTGGACCATTGAAGTGCTCAATAATTGTTAGCTGCTGTTACTATTCTAAATGAAAGGATTTCCCCGTGTATGTTCAGCACATAAGAGATTCTCCTATTTCATGATGTTTTAATTTTTTTTCCTTTCTCAATTGTGAACTAGGGTCCTTTACTCATGTTGGATAGTAGTCTTCACGTCAATTACTCTAGAAGACCCTATCTCTTCAGTTCAAATAGTAATTTTCATGGTTAGAATTCTTAAGCAAAGGCAAAATACGCAGACACATACAAAAAGAGAACTGCAAGTCTTTTCCTTTTTCAGCTCTGATTTCACCTTTCTCTCCACTATCTCATATGAACTTTCCACAGCTAACAGAAGACTATCCTTACTGTGTCAAGTCCCACTCTCATTTTATGAAAAGGCTCTTCCAAACCCAACACTCATTAACATATAGAAAAGATTGACTAATCAATCCCTTCTCAATTTAGTTTACCACCTCCGCCATTTCCCTCAAGTTTCTCCTCTTCCTTCCACACACAAGAAATTAGCCTGCATGCATCATTCTCTCACACCCTTAAGTTTCTGATTCTAGATTTGGAAAAAAAAACCTCTGTGGTCTAGCTGAGGGAGGGACCACATCTCCCTGATTTTTCACTAACAGAGCCTTTGTGGACTCAGGTGGAGAGGCTGATCCAGGAGCGTGGCTGGGAGTTCATGTGGAATGAACGTTTGGGATACATCTTGACCTGCCCATCTAACCTGGGAACTGGACTTCGGGCAGGAGTGCACATCAAACTGCCCTTGCTAAGCAAAGTAAAAGAATTATGGGGTTGGAAAAGGGTGTCAGTCTAGATGGTGAAGGGATGGACACGCTGGAATGGGTTCGGGGAAAGAGTTGTCTGCAGATTTAGGACTCTTTCAGGGAGGATTGTCTCTGCCTTTATTGGCCCTCACTCCCTTTTCAATCTCCCCTCTAGGATAGCCGCTTCCCCAAGATCTTAGAGAACCTAAGACTTCAAAAGCGTGGTACTGGAGGAGTGGACACAGCGGCCACAGGCAGCATTTTTGACATCTCTAACTTGGATCGACTAGGCAAGTCAGAGGTGAGATCTTTAGGTTGGTGGGGTGGGGCAGATAGGTCAATGAGGATTGAGTTGTGAGATAGAGTGAGCTTCAGGAATGTAACAGACTCTGAAATGAAATCCAGGTTGAGTAGGAAGGCATAAAATTCCCAGACTGGGCAGGAAGTGTCAGAGAAGGAAACTCAGATTGTGGGAACCAAAATCCAGAAAAACAAGATCAGTGTCCTTCAGGTGGAGCTGGTGCAACTGGTCATCGATGGAGTAAACTATTTGATTGACTGTGAGCGGCGTCTGGAAAGAGGCCAGGATATCCGTATCCCTCCACCTCTTGTTCACAGCAAGCATTAACTCCTCATCTCACAGAGGATTCAAGAGGCCCAGAACTCTGCCCCTTGTAATGGTGACCCATTCTATTTGTCCTGGGCTTGCCTATATCCAAGTAAAGACTTGTTGCTATGGTCTAACTGTTTGTGTTATTTCTGATTGGTGGGGTGAGGAGGAAGCAGCCTTTAAGAAAGGAAAAGAGACAGTGGGGTTATCTGCGATGGAAAGAAACTTCAGATATGGAATGCCAGGAACAGAATCTCAGGTGGGTGGAAAACATTAGCATTTTACCCATATTCCTCATCAGTCTCCCAAGAATAACTATGAGGCACTTCCAGTTGCACTTTATTCATTATGACTAAGGTTTCTTTGTCAACAATCCCCTTAACTGTATAGACAGCCTTGGAGCAGTTGGCTAAGGAAGCATATGGTCAATGCCAAGGCCCAGGCGAGTTGTGACTGGTCATGGAGGCCCCTGGCTGTGTTTCGACCTATAGTGAGACAAAGAAAGGGAGGAATATTACAACTCTGCTTTTTCAGGAGCTGTTGCTGCCTAAAAACTAGCTCTCTGCCTATAGATCTAAAACTAGATCTAGGCCTATATTCCAGAGATCTCCCTGGGTAAATTCTAAAGAGTCAGATGGCACCAGGCTAGGGGGTCACATTCTCGTTCAGAAGATGGAGGATCAAACAGCGGTTGAAGACTCACCCTGCCGCTCTGGAATCTCCTTCCCCTCATGTTGGGCCCATATGACTGCTTGTCGCTGCTCGGGACTCAGAAGGGCCATTTGCTCAGGAGTGACAGCCACAGCCTGAACACTCGTGAGACTAGATAGCTGGGTGGGGTTGAATACCACCTGGAGGCAGGTACAGCAATCAGTACTTATACTGTCATCTCCACCAGGCCCTGACTTGCTTATGGTTGTCCTAGGCCTGAGTTGATTAGTACTTACAGCAAATTTAGGAGCAGGGATGACAGAAATGGCAAGTGGGGTAAGACCCTGAATCTGTCCTCGCAGCAGTGCGGATAGAGCCATGTCTGGAATTCCAGCTTTGAAGCAAGTAGAATAGACATTCATATTTTGTTTTAGATGAGCCATCTATCTCTTCAAACCTATAGACCTCTTCCAATCATTCCCAAAGCACCCAACCCATAAATATTTCCAACATATCTCTAGCTTCTTACTTAAGCACCCCTTTGTCCTACATTAAGAATTGCAGAGCAGTCTCCACCCAGTTCACCCCCCAGTACGGTTACTGATCCCTAATAGTGGGCACCAGCAGTGTCCCTGCCTTTCTACCTGCTATCGTGCCGATTTCAGTAAAGATCTCTGGACCCCAGTTACTGACTGGGCCAAAGCCACCAGGTAATACAAGGAGCTGGGCCAGAACCTCTAGCTGTTCTTCAGAGCACTGGAGAGGCAGGTTGCCCAGGAAGAGGGCTGCTTGGCTGTGAATAAATGAGAAGGAAAGGGAGAAGAATTCAACTTTAGTAATAAGACAATAGATATAAGCTAGGCTTCAAATGGACCCCTTTTTCTCTAGGTAAGTTCATCTTCACATTCAGCACCACCACTCACACACCCCACCCAGCTCCCACAGATGACCTAAACTCCCAGTTGCTGATATGCTGTAGTTCCTCTGGCCGAAGTCCACACAGCGTGTAGCCTAGCGCTGTTAAGTGAAGGAAGTCCAGGTGGCTCACATGCCGGCCACTCTGACGCAGGAAAGTGGAGACCACAATCCGGAGCTAGGGCAAGGTTGGGTGGGGGCAGGGAAGACATACAAGACAAGGAATATTACAGGGAGTTAATGAGAGGGAAAAGAGATGAGAGAAGTGATAGCTGCTGGTGACCATATTATCTTATTAAGAACTGAAAATCCAAATAGCCATGGGGAAGGTAGAAGATATACTTTTTAAAAAAAGATCTTCAGGGAAGAAGGAAGAGGAAGTAGTTGTGTGTTCAGGGCCTCAGAATAAATAAGTCAAAGGTCTGCAAGATTGCTAGTACAGGGTGTTAAGCTAGAAAGAATAGTCAGGCAAAGTCAGTGAAAAAAATTCCTTGGCTTCAGGTGACCTCAAGGTCTGAGATATTGTGGGAGGAGGGAAGGAAGGAGGCAAAGTGTCACCTGGACTGAGCTCCAGCCATCTATCTGCCCCAGGGTGCTCAGCACTCCCCAGTCCACCAGCATCAGTTCCTGTAGTTCCCTCTCTCCTAATCCTATTAAAAGCCGACCCAGCTGCAGGACCTGCTCAGGTCGAAATCCTCGGGGAGGACCCCACAACTAGGAGAAAGGGGGGAACATCGTAATTGGAAAAAGCACTGGAATAGGAGTCAGAATGCTGAGTGATTAGGGTTCATCAGGGATGCCATTTCTATCTAATGCAAATATTGGGGGTCATCCTGAAAGATTCTTTTCCGTTTTAACATAGGACCTAAGATTGGCATTTTTATAACTTGCTCACCAGATGACTGTGATACACCTTAAAATTTGCTAACCACTGCTCTAGCTTCTCTCCCCATTGTGCTCGTTCCCTTTCTTCAATATTCATCTTCTTTGATTTCTCACTAGAACTAAAAAGTTATATAGTCTAGCTCTTTTTACCCTCCCTTCACCAACTCCCAATTTCCTTACATCCAACGCAATATCCCCATATTTTTCCACCTCCAATCCCAATTGATTTCTCCACCCCTAACCTGCTTTGCCTTGCCCATGGCTGCCCTTAATTCCTCAGGCCCAAGTCCTGGGTCTCCTGCAAAGAGTGCTAGGCAATCTTCAAAGTCTGAGAGCTCCATCTGCGCAATCTGGGTTGCAGACCAGGCTGCTGGGAATGTCCCCCGTATATCTGCACAATTTGGCACAGGTTCTGAAGAGAATAGGAAAATTTTAGGATCAGTGTGATGCTAAAATAGTCCAGATATAGAATGATCTCTGTATACATAGAGTGTATAGAGAATGATTCCCCAAGTCTTTGGAGGATGGGACAGTGTGGACAATGTGAATACAGAGAGATTATTGTGAAACTTGGCAAGGAAGCAGGAAAAGGGCCAACTTGAGCCAAATGTATGGGTTATAAACTCCCAGAACTACAGAACTCTGTTGTTGTGGGTCACCGAGTCGGAACCAAACCATAGCTGACCCTGTAGTGGGTTTTCAGAGACAGTAAATTACACTGAAGGTGATTGCCCATTCTTCTCCCACAGGACTGCTGGTGTCTTTAGGCCACTTAATGTCCCTATAGAACTCCAGAAATAGGTGAAAAAACTTTTGAGATCATCCTTCTAACCTCTTTTTATATTTTTATATATAGAGAGAAAGGAAAACAAAGGCCCAGAGAACAAAGGTTTGTACATCTGCTCCCAAGATTAGCACACTTGGAGCCTGGATTTCTGAACTGAATATTCTTTCTTATATATCCCGCCACAAGCATAAGCTGTTGGGTTGTTTCACCTGGGAGGTCCTCTGCAGCAGGACGCACAACTCCAGAAACTAGGGCTGCTTTCTTGCGAGCCAGCTGTGGTCTCCCACACAGCTGTCCAACTCTGCTCTGCTCCCAGCTCTGCTGCTTCTCTAGAAGTCGCTCCAGAGTTTCTGGGCCCAAGATCTCCTATGTGAATGGTAGAGACAAAATGAGATGTGTGGGCAAGACTAGGGTCAGCTGTTGCAAGTATAATTCCAAAATCTTATTTCTGTTTAGCAGTCTTCCTCACACCAAAGCTTCACATTCTTTGCCTCCATCCTCCTTGACCTTAGGTCCCCAGAACTAATTCACTTGCTCCCTCTGTGCTCTTAGACCCTCCTTTATTTCTTCCTTCACCTTACCCTGGGGATCAAGGAAATAGCCTCAGTAGACAGAGTGAATGCTAGGCGTCCAGCTTGCTCTACTTCATCCTGGCTCCACAACTCTGGCTTTCTGAGGAACAGGAAGAAGATCAGGGTCTGAGGATCTAAGGAAACTGTAAAGAAATGGAAAGGGAAGAGAGGGCATGATAGGATTGGGGACGCCGGGCTCCAAGGGGCCTCAAGCACATAAAAGCAGCTACTACTTTGAGCTGTGATGCTGGAGAAGGGGCCTAAATATCCTATGGACTGCAAGGAAAACAAACATGTCTTGGAGAAAGTACAGCCGGGATGCTCCTTATAGGTAAATATGGTGCAACTTAAGATATGTTGTTAGGGCCACTCATCGCAGAAAGACTTCATGCTCAGAAAAGTAAAGGGTCAGCAAAGGAGAGGAAGACCCTTAATGAGATGGATTGACACAATGACGATAACAGCAGGCTCTGAAATGGCAGAGATGATGAAGGTGGTACAGGTCAAAGCACAGTTCAAATCTGATGTTCACAGGGCTGCCCTGAGTTGTTGTCAACTCAATAGCACTTAACAACATCAACCCTACTGATAAAGTGGGGAGCTTTTGTGATATAGCCTTTAAGTCCACTTAACAATTCTCAGACTTGGAAACCTGATGGAGGGTCACTATGGGTTGGACTCAACCCAAATGCAGTAGGGGGTTTGAGTTTTGACTACTAATGAAGTATGAGGTACAAGCTGATGAGATGTGAAAGTAATGTCCATACCCAAGAAGAGCCTCCTGCAACAGCAGCAATCCCAGCTCTTTAGCAAATGGCTCTCCCAGGCAGTAGTCCTGCAGCTGACTAAGGTAGGAGAACAGGATCTGTAGGGGAATCCGTCGTGTGCTCTCTATCCCCAGGAATCCAACCAGGGGGCCCAATGCCTCCAGCACTTCCCTTGAGAGTGGGGCTTCTTTTGGAGCCTAGGAAAGGACAATGCCATCGCTGACTCCAAATATCAGAGTTTCTGATCAGACACTTGACCTTCTTTCTTCCAGTTTTCCACACATGATGCTCAGTGCCATTATTTACTTCCCTAAACAATGTGCCCAGACAAGAACAGGTGAAAGGAAAAAAGGAGAAATCGAAGGGATTTTGTGGAACCCAAAGGGTGAGGACAAGGAGCACAAGTTAATGAGGAATAGAACCTGAAACAGAGTTTAGGGCTATGGTCTTGGAGACAGAACCTATATGGCAGCAAGAAGAGACTTTGGCTTAGAAGATAATTTCAACATCATGTTGGGCACAAGTAGTGCAAAGGGAAGCATATCTGAGTC